ATACTGCTGCATACTTTGATTGCTGGCTAGGCATGTAGCTTTCCTTATCTGTACTATTCAAGAGGGCTTGGTCTCCAGGAAATCTTTGAATTCTGAGATATGAGACACTGCAGAAAGCTCTTCTTGGGATGCTTTGGGATGACCAGCCTGGCCCCAATGCTGACTGGCTGACCACTAGGCCAGGGCTAGAGGATGGACTGACCGCCCATGCACCAGGATTCACATGCCCTTTGCTCCTCTCTACCCTTGAGCTCAGGTCTTAATTTATACTTTAAAATTTGTCAATCATCATCATCTGGTCTGGTGGCCAGAGGAGACAGAGACAGGTAGGGGAGAAGGAGAAAATTTGTCCGGGGGGGGGGGACGACAAACTTGCAGGACAGTACGAAATGTGTACAGATCAGGAGGGCAGGAGGGTAAGATGACTGGAAGCCTGAGCCTGTGGCTGGCCAGCGACCCTCCACACAGTCATCCCAAACTGGCTCACTAGACCTCGCCTGCACTCTGGGGACTCGGAGGGTTAACGAAATAATAAAACTCCCAGAGCCCATCAGTCGAAAGGCTGGGTAAATGCAAGCATTATGATCCTCCCGCAACAGATGGGAGCTGTTTAGGATCCTTTATTCCTTTTCCTCTCCCTCGCCCCCCTTCTCCAGCAGCTATGGGGACGAGGAATGCCGGCTGCAGCATCAGATGATCCATCAGCCGGGAGCTTGGCTGTGGGAGGAGGGTGGCTGCTCCCAGAAAGACCCCCACCCCAGACAGCAGTGAGCAGGCCACCGAGGAAGCCTCGGGTCATGGGAAAGGTCCCCTCAGATAGGGAGAGATACACACTAAACAAACGCAGCCACACGATGCACACATTCAAATGCCACCCCAGGGAGTATGTGCACATATGTTCTGTGCGGGTGAGGAGGCCGTGCCTGGCCTTCAGAAAGCAATGTTCAAAAAAAATTCCATCAATCAGACTGCAGTCCTGTGAAGATGAAAACCAGAGGAGACACGCGCTCTGCCCCATCACCAGCTGTCCACCTGAGATGGCTTGGCCACTTTGCTTGGAGATATGCTGCTGTCTTGTCTGGGCTGGGAGGAGCAGGAGAAACAGGAGGGCAAGGAGAGGCGTACCCTTGCTCCTGTTCACCCTCTTCGGGCTCAGCATGGCCTTGAGGGTCGCCTTCCTCCCCACAGTCCTGACCAAGACCAACACCTCGATCTATACCCTGAGCCTGTTGCCGTGAGGAAGCACAGCCTGGGGTTGATGTTCCTATGTGTCACTCTCCTCTGGCTGGTAACATAAACTCCTTGGAGTGTTCTGTCAGAAGCAAGGACATCACGCACTTCACAGAGTGTTGGTTTTAAGTCACATAAAACACCTCACTTGAGAAGAGCAATGTCTGTTCCAGATATGGAACCCAATGCAAGGCTTCATCATGGCAGCGCTTCCCTCACGAAGGCAGAACCGCTGCACATTCAGCACCCGTGAGCCCGTGTCACCCGCCCATTGTTACCACATACCATTTCTAGGAATCTGTTGCTCCTGTTTGAATAAGGACCACTGTTGGTGTGACATGGGCCTGAGAAGACTGGCCTTTGTCCACAGTGCCTGGGACACAGGATCGTGAAAGAGGGTGCTCCCACTCAGTGCCTTCTTTGAGGATCTCAGCTGACACAGGTCCTACCTGTCCCACTCCACCAAACTGATTGTCACCCACCTGTGGGCAGGCAGGCCCAGTGCAGCATAGCTCAGGTGAGTAGCTATATCGTCAGCTGGATCCACAGGAAAGAAAGAGCAAATTCCATTTGAATAGGAATTAAGCTGCATGGCTGCCAGTCTGTGCCTTCAACTGGCATTGACTGGAGATTGTACCTTAGATACAACCAACTATAGGGGTCGCTCTGGGCCCCAGGCGTGGGGTGCGCAGGTATCTCGAGGTCCCCGCCACACCTGGTGAGCCGCGGCACGGGTCTGGCTCTGGCCGTGCCTCTCTGGGAGCTGAGGCGGGTGTCCCGCGGGCTTTTCAGCCGCTTAGGGTCCTGCGTGTCCGCTGCTTTGGTGCTGAAAGTTCCTCTGCTGCTGGAGCGTTGTCCAGCCGAATCCCGCCCTTAATTCACCCGTGTACTTTCCTCAGGAAGCGAGGTCCACTGGCCATTGGACCACGCAGGAAGAGTACGAGAACGGCGAAAGCTAGGAATGTCCGCAAGTCGGTAACGGAGGAGTGCTGCCCCCCGGAGAGGCTAGGTCGCAGGTAGTAAGACACAAGACTCAAGACTCGGCTTAGTCTGTGTTACAGCTTTATTAAGTGTCTCTGCTCTCAGTGATTCAGCAGCTCTGCGACCCAGCTCTCTGTCTATTAAGAGAAAACTAGGATACTTATACCATGGGGGTAGTGGTAAAAGCTTTGGCTGTTAGATGCTTTGTGAGGCATTCTATTTACATATGGAAGTGGGTTTCTGCCAGACTGCTGTCTGCCTGGAAAAATCACACAGGAAAGCATGGTACCTTTCAGTGGCGGGCACTTCAAAAGGAGAGTCAGGAAAGATGCCAGGAAGGCACCCTGCTATGAAAGGAGCCCCAGCACATAACCCCGAGCTGCATGAGCTGTCCGGACATGAAGGGGCTTCTACTTTGCATAACAGAGGTCCCCAACAACCAACCATGGGGTACGTGGTCCATTGGTATACATACCCCAGTGTCTGTGGTTTAGTGTATTCATTGATTTTGACAATGAACTTCATAGGGCCACAGAAAGAAGCACAAAGAGGTCCCTTGCCAGCCAGGGTGCAGGAGAAGGCCAGTTCAGGAATAGTTCCTGGAAGTGATGGCTGAGCCAGCCAAGCTAAGCTGCCCCGATGGTGCTGCCATACCCAGGAGACCAACAGTCACCTAAAGACCAAACCCAGATCTTGGCCAGCATCTTACAGCAATTCTTCTAATGTTTCCAAAGCACTGCTGCAGGGTCAGTTAGCGCTTCCCTACCTGAACACAGCAATCTGGGCTATTACTGAGGGGATTTCCAGCCCTGAAGACAAGGTCTGCCAAGCACAAGCTGTGTTGCGTCTCGCTTTCCCTTACACAGCAAAATCACACAGAAGATAAGTGTTTCTGCCCCTCAAACTCACTGCAAAGCTCTGGATGGCCCCCTGCAGCATCACTCCATCCTGCAGCTCACCAGGTCCACCCTCCCCTGTGGTCACTCTCCTCACAACTTGTTTCTTCTGCAAAGTGCCAACCATCACCTCTGTTTACCAAAGTCAGGCTACCACTAAACTCCAGCCCAGCTATTCATTCCTTACCCCCTGTAATACTAGGCATGGTGGTTCACACCTGTAATCCCAGTAATCAGGAAGTTGAAGCAGGATAGCTCAACATTCTAGGTCAGTCAGGGCTACATGGCTAGAGCCAGTCAAAAAAAAAAAAAAAAACAAAAACAAAAAATCCTCTGTAACCAGCACTGGGTGTCTTGTCTCTACCTTTCAGGGGCTTGGCTTTCAGCAAGATAGCAAGGTGACCCCCCTCTCCGCACCCTCTCCCCACATTCATGGCCACAACACACACTGAGGTACAAAGTTCATTTCTCCTGCTCCATGACCCTGAGGGAAGACATGGCATCCCTGAGGCATTGCAGAGGTGGCTGGAATCTCAATGAGGCTTTGAATATAAAATACAGATCTATCATCTAGGTCAGTAGCTTTCTGTGAATGAGAGCAAAACACCAAAAATCTGCCTTTAAAAATGGGACCAAAATGAGGTTGTTTTCCAGCATCTTAGAGGGGATGTAATTTCCAGGGTCTGTGTACCACAAAAGATTACTTTTATATGAGCAAACTTTAAAATAGCTAAGACTAAGTAACTCAGGAGGCTTTACACACACACACACACACACACACACACACACACACACGTGCTTGTGCATATGTGCTCACACATGTACATGTATGCGTGTATATCCACATGCACACATATGGACATATGACTGTGTTTGGTCTGCATGAATTATTTCCCCAACAGCTAAGCCACTAGAGCCAAGCAACTTCCTGTGGCTTCCTACCTGGCAGCCACTCTCACTGTGGAAGAGACTTCACCACCAGGACTAAGGTAGTTCCACACCTTTGTGGCCCCAAGCAGGAGCAGCAGGGCTTGTAGAGTCAGGGTGTCCAGGCAGTTCTGCAGCTCTGAGACTTAGAGGTCAGTGCCTCAAGAATTGTTGACAGAGTTGCCTCAGTCCTGCCCTTTGCTCACTCTGTCATACCCGGCACGTATCTTTGCCAAATCTCTCTCCTCCCCAACTTCAAGAACTTCCGTGGAGTCCTGGAATCTGGAAACTCCCAATAAATAATAGAAGAGGGGAAACTGAGGCATGTAGAGAAGAATTCAGTGTCAGAGGAAGAAGGCAGGAGAGAGGGGGGGAGAGGAGAGAGGGGGGGAGAGGAGAGAGGAGAGAGAGGAGAGAGAAAGACAGAGGAGAGAGAGAAAGGAGAGAGGAGAGAGAGAGGAAAGAGGAGAGAGAAAGGAGAGAGGAGAGAGAAAAAAGGAGAGAGAGAAGAGAGAGGGAGAGAGGAGAGAGAGGAGAGAGAAAGGGAGAGAGAGGAGAGAGAAAGGAGAGAGAGGAGAGAGAGGGAAAGAGAGAGAAAGGAGAGAGAGGAGAGAGGGAGAGAGAGAGAAAGGAGAGGAGAGAGAGGGAGAGAGAGGAGAGAGAGGAGAGAGGAGAGAGATGAGAGGAGAGGAGAGAGAAAGGAAAGAGAGAGGAGAGAGAGAAGAGAGAGAGGAAAGAGAGAGGGAGAAAAAAGGAGAGAGAGAAGAGAGGGAGAGAGAGGAGAGAGAAGAGAGAGAGGGAGAGAGAGAGCGAGAGAGAGCACCAACATTCTTACTATGCATGGGCACAGGAAAGAGAGTTCATCTGCTATGTGACTAGAAGAGGGGAAGAGACAAGGAGATCCTAGAGTCCTTGGCCAGGGGCACCAAGCGTATACATAAAGGCCTGAGATGCAGTAGGTCAGCACAGGCCCAGGGTCAGGCATGCAGACCAAGGGAACCTGCTGAGTTGGATTCAACCTAGTAAGGACCAGTTACTACAGAAAGTTATAAAGACCATTTATGCTGGGTAGCTTTAGTGTCAACTCGAGGGAGCCTCAATTGGGAAATTGCCACCATTGGACTGGCCTGTGGTCATGTCTGTGGGGTATTTTCTTGATTGTTGAGTGATGTGGGAGGGCCCAGCCCACTGTGGATGGTGCCACCCCTGGGCAGGTGGGCCTGTATTGCATAAGAAAGCAGGCTGAGCAGGGGCCAGGGGAGCAAGTCAGTAAGCAGTGTTCCTCCATGGCCTGTGCTCCAGCTCCTGCCTCCAGGTTCCCTCCCTGAGTTCCTACCTTGGGCTCCCTGATGAACTATGACCTGAAAATGTAAGATAAATAAACCCTTTCCTCCCCAAGTTGGTATTGGTCAGAGTGTTTTGTCACAACAATGTAGAAACAAACTAGGACACCATTTTACATTTTAACCCTTGAGAGAGAAGGATCAGGAGTTTAAAGTATTCTCAACTACATAGCAAGTTAGAGACTGCCTGAGCTAAATGAGGCCGTATCTCAAAACAAGAACAGCAAAAAATATATTTTTACTTGATTTGATATCAGCAGCCTGCTGAAAAGTCAGTAGGCTCTCCTAAACACATCCACACTCTGATCCCTCAAACCTGTGAATCAGCAACCTGACCTTGTGAGAGAGACTTTGCAGATGGAGATCTTGAGATTCAGGGTGATACTGGATTATCCTGGGTCTGATGTTAAATACAGGGTCCCTGTAAGCCCAAGGTCAGTGGGGCCCAAGAGCAGGCCTGTGATGTGGCAGTTAAGGCTAGTGGAAGGGAGGGGCTGCAGCCTGGGGAAGACCAGGAACCCCAGGAGCTGGGCAGACAGTACTCTTGCTGGAGCTCCCAGGGATCTCATCCCGAGGACACCTTGACTGTAGCCTGGTGCGACCCCTTGGCCTGTAAGGCTATAAGGTAATTAGCTTCTGATCTTTCCAGCCTCTAAAGTTGTGGTAATTTATTTCAGCATCAGCAGGAAACAGGGATACTTATTCTTTATGGTACTGAATGTTTTAATATCTCAAATGACTTCAGTCCCTGCTCAACCCCAGAGCCTAGATGTGGTTTCTTCCATAAAATTTATCCTTTGGTGGCTGTTCTCAGATACTTAACTCATCGAATATGGGAAGGTGGTCCCTCTGTTTTCTCACTCTACTGGTTCTTTCCAGAGACAGATCATCATTTGTATCACTCCCAGTTCTTCACCACAGAAAGGGATAATATGGTATTGCTTTCATTTGCTGTGATCAAAAACACTGACCAAAACCATTTTGGGGAGGAAAGAGTTTATTTGGCTTACAGCACAGTCCGTCATCAAGGAAAGCCAAGGTAGGAACTCAGGGCAGGAACCTGGAGCACAGACCACGGAAGAACGCTGTTTACTGGCTTGCTCCCTTGGCCTGTGTTCAGCCTGCTTTCTTATACAACAAAGGACTACCTGCCCAGGGGTAGCATCATCCACAGTGGGCTGGACCTCCCCATATCACTCAACAATCAATAAAATGCTCCAAAGACATGGCCACAGGTCAATCCAATGGAGAAAATTCCTCAATTGATGTTCCCTCTAACCAGATGTGTCACGTTGACACTAAAGCTATCCAGCACAAGCTGACCCCTTGTCAACTTGACACACAACACACTGATACTAAAACACAGCCTTTTCATTTCTTTTCCCCAAGACATACGTTAATATTAATCACAACATAAAACAGTACAACTGTCCTTAAAAAAATTCAAATACTAAGTTCATATTCTCCCTTAAAAGGCTCTTAATTGTGGGCTCCTGTAAAATTCAAAACAAGTACTTCTTTCAAAAGGGAAGATTCAGATACACTTAAGCAAAACAAAAGTCCAGCAAAGTAGCTCCATGCTACTTCATGGGAATCTGGGATTTACTCAGATCTTCTGGGCTCTGAAGGGCTTGGGCAGCTCCACTTCTCTGGCTCTGCCATACACATCATACATAGCTCATCTGATAGGGTCAGACTGGCTCCACTTCAGACCTGCTGCTGCCCTTGGTGGCTGTTCCATGGTCATGACATCTCCAATATGCTGGGGTCATTACTGAAACTGAGGCTGTACCGTCACCAATGGGTTCTCCTGGTCTCTCAGGGTGCCAAGCCTCAGGTTCTCTCCATGACTCCTTCATTCCCCCAACACCAGGACCATACAGGAGACTCTTACATATTACCAAGTACTATGTCCAGCTTGAGATGGAAACTTGGGCCCCTTCTGGACTACAGCTTCTGTGTGCTGACCCTGAGAAAACACTTCTCAGAAGATTTCAGCTCAGTAATATCAGTCTCTAGTTACCCACAGCTGATTTTTCAACCCCAGCTAACCAGAATCAATTGTCCCAATAAAGCAAAGGTTTTAGTTCCAGCTCTGGTCTCTTCTTAATCACAACTGATTCTTCAGCCCCAGCCAACCAGAAACCATAGATTCTCAATTCAGAATATCACACATATAGTCTTGGTAGCCTCCACTTCCCTTTGAAGCTTCACAAGCCAGGCCTCCATCATCTATACCTCTTTCTGTAGAACTGTTCCAAGATCCACAGCAGCAGCTCACTAAGCTCTAAACACTCAATGGATTTTCCAGTCCAAAATTCCACAAACTTCTACAAGCCTTCCCAAAACAACTGGGTCAGGGCTTTCACAGCAATACCCCACTCTTGGTACCAATTTCTGTTCTAGTTTGCTTTCATTTGCTGTGAAAACTCACTGATCAAAATCAATATGGGAAGAAAAGGGTTTATTTGGCTTACAGCACAGTTCATCACTGAGGGAAGCCATAGCAGGAACTCAGGGCAGGAACTTGGAGAACAGACCATGGAAAAATACTGCTTATGGGCTTGCTCCCTTGGCCTGTGCTCAGCCTTCTTTCTTATACAATTGAGGACCACCTGCCCAGGGGTGGCACTACCCACAGTGGGCTGGGCCCTCCCACATCACTCAACAATCAAGAAAATGTCCCACAGACATGGTCACAGGTCAACCCAATAGAGGAAATCCCTCAGTTGCCAAGGTGTGCCAAGTTGACAGCTGAAGCTATCCAGCACATATGGTAAAACCAACCTTTAGTAGTATTGTTATTCCAAATGGCAAAGAGCTTGATGCATGCAGTTAACTCAGCCCAGAATAAACTTAACACAAGGCAAAACCAACCAGGCACACCTGACCCAGGACAAACCCAGCCCAGGGAAGACCATGGGAAAACATGGCCCACGGTAAAGCCAGCCCACAGCAAACCTAGCCCAGGGCACTAGAGATATCAGCAGTGTTTTTGCCTTCACTCAGCAATTCTGAAAGGAATCAGATCATTATACACTGTTGTTTTCTAACACATACTTCTTCACATTTTCCTGAAGGGCTGTGGGGACAGCCAGAGCATTCACACACAGATCTAATAGCTATCTACTGCCTACCTGGGCCACATGTGCCCAGTTATCCTCTCTCAAGCCCATCGATGCTGACTTCCTATGGGCCCCATCCTAGAAGAAAGAATACTAGGTCAGGCTTCCCCAGTGTCTATAGCATTAATAGGCATGTCTTCCAGGGTGTTGAGGCTTCATCTCAAACACTAGGAAGCCTTCATTGGAGGGGCGAGGGTTCCTAGCCACAGGAGGATATGGAGAAAGATTAGGCTGCAGGGGAGGAGAGTTCAGAGCTGCACTTTGTATGCTTGGGATGCTGTGCATTATCCAAGTGGAAGTGTCCAATCTAAGAAAGGTGTAGTCAAAGGAGGTGGTTGAGGATGGACCTGGGGGTATGCCACCACCAAGATTCATGGAGTGGTGTTGCAAAAGCAATAAAAGGATCCCAGAGTGCACAGGTAAAAGGATCCTGTTGGCTGTGGCAAGAGGACTGGACCTGGTGGCCTGGGAGAGCAGGGCTGGGAATGTGGGGGCGGGGGGTGCTAGGAAAGCAAGCACCGCAAGCAAGCAACAATGGAAGTGATCAGGTCTCCACCAGAAGAGCCAGCAGAGCAGAGGGTCATGTTGCAGGGCAGGCGTGGGCTGGGGGACTTTACACTTGGTTTGAAATAGAGCAATACTATGATGTAC